TTTTCTTTATCCATTTATCTGTCGATGGACACTTAAGTTGTTTCCATGTCTTAGATATTGTAATAGTGCTGCAATGAACATGGGGGTGCATGTATCTCTTCCACTCTCTTATAATCTCTACAGTTGACCAAATCGTGTCATTCTGACAATTTTACCAAATATATCTCGACTTGTCAACAATTTACATTTCAACTGCCTCCATCCTGGTCCAAACTCTCACAGGTTCTTGCTTCCTTGCTTTATACTATTCAGTTGATTCAAAATGAACTTAGAATAAAGTAAAAAAATAAATCCTTAAGGAGACGTACTCAGCTCTGCAGTTTGACTCTGCTTATCTCTTGCCTAATCATATGTTTTTCTCCTTCACTCACTATGTTTAGTCACACTGGTTTCAATTCAATCATAAAGACAAATTTCTCTTTACCTTGGCTCTGGGCCATCAAAAATATGCAAATCAGAGAAATGCAAATCAAAAGGACAATGAGGTATCACCTCACAGCAGTCAGAATGGCCATCATCAAAAAATCTAGAAACAATAAATGCTGGAGAGGGTGTGGAGAAAAGGGAACCCTCTTGCACTGCTGGTGGGAATGTAAATTGATACAGCCACTATGGAGAACAGTATGGAGGTTCCTTAAAAAACTAAAGATAGAACTACCATAGGACCCAGCAATCCCACTCCTGGGCGTGTATCCAGAGAAAACCATAATTCAAAAAGATACATGCACCCCGGTGTTTACTGCAGCACTATTTACAATAGCCAGGACATGGAATCAACCTAAGTGTCCATCGACAGAGGAAAGGATAAAGAAGATGTGGTATATATACAATGGAATACTACTCAGCTGTAAAAAAAAAGAATGAACTAATGCCATTTGCAGCAACATGGATGGACCTAGAGGTTGTCATACTGAGTGAAGTAAGTCAGACAGAGAAAGACAAATATCATATGATATCACTTATATGTGGAATCTGAAAAATGATACAAATGAACTTATTTACAAAACAGAAACAGACTTAGAAAACAAACTTATGGTTACCAAAGGGGAAGCGTGAGGGGGAGTGCTAAATCGGGAGCTTGGGATTAACATACACACACTACTATATACAAGATAGACAACCAGCAGGGACCTACTGTATAGCACAGGGAACCCTACTCAATATTTTGTGATAATCTATATGAGAAAAGAATCTGAAAAAGAATGAATATATGCATATGTCTAACTGAATCACTTTGCTGTACACCTGAAATTAACACAACATTGTAAATCAACTATACTCCAATAAAATTTAAAAATAAATTAAGAATAGAAACAAAAATAAAGGATTAAAAAAATGTGCTTTGCATCTACACCTGGAAAAATGCAATCTTCAAATCCTTATGTGTCATTTACTCAAGGAAATCTTCCTGAATCCCCTAACTTAGACTATTTATTTTATCCTCAATACAGACTCTCCTGTCAACCTGCCCATCTTCATTTCTAGCTCTTAATATAATTGTTTAATGACACTTTTTCCACCCAGGTTTAAATATGTATCAATATATACTATAGTATCTGATTTTATAGTAGATGCTCAATAAACAGTTGTGGGATGAATTAACTGATGGACAGCTAAATAAATGTGCCAGCCACACAATGAACCCTCATGCTGTTAAAAAGGTTCATTTCTTCGCACACGACCCAGGTCTTTTCCCTTTTGCAGGGGTCAAGTTGAGTGATTCTGTAATGGAATGCTCTGAGATTTTGACTGAGATCTTTCTCGTGCCAGAAGTTTCTGAATGGTGCAAAGATGACTACAGAGATAGAGCTCTGATGAAAATCATATTACAAAGTTCTCCAGGGATAGTTCAAAGAAAAGCTCTTTCTAAGCCTGAGAGCCCGGTGGGACACCTGCGTAAAGGTTCTTAGATCTGCCGGCATGTTAGAGTCATCTGGGGAGCTCTGAAAAAACACCACTACCAGGCTCCACTAGACTTTTTAAAGCACAATACCTCGGGGCAGGATTTGGCCATCAGGCTTGTTTGCTGGTTTTTATTTTTCCAGGTAATACTACTCTGCATCCTATTTTGAGAAATATAGCAGTGGGTTCCAAATATGACTTATCATCAGAATATTTTGGAGTCATTTAAATAAACAGAAAAATTTCAGACCCACCCCTGGAGTTACTGATTTAGTTGGACAGGAATGAAGCTAAACAATCTGTATTTTAAAAGCTTCCCTAGTGATTTTGTTATTCAGAAAAGATTTATAAATCACTGATCTATAACAACGGACCCAGTATTAAATAGTATCAATAAATTCCTCTGAATCCATTTTCTTGAAAAGGCAAAAATAGAAATAATGGCATAGGACATAAAAGCTTTGCTAAAAGAAACATATTCTTTACCAAAGGTCTCTCTTCCACATACTTGTTTTAAATTTAAAAGCAAGTAAAGAAGCTAATTTAGGTTGGGCAAGTTTTTAAGAATTTTCTCTCAAAAACATGTTCATTGATGGTATTAGTAGGTAGCTTTGATTAAATATACTAGCGATTTATTATATACGAATGAGGAAGTGTAGAATGATGGTCAGAAGTTCCATCTTGACTTGTCATTTTTGTAAGATGTACATATGATTACAATAGTTAAAGTGAACAAGGTATTTCACCCAAGAACCATTTGTTGTAAGAAACAGAAATATACTCAAAGTAACTTACATCTAACATGGGATGGGAGGCAAAGAGGAGACAACCATTACAGAAATGAAAGGGTTGAGAACAAATAGGGTCAAATTTAAAGATGATAAATGGGAGGGAAATGATTAAGGTTAATCTCTCAGTCTTTCTGGAGTCTCTTGGATTCTCTTTTCACTGCTTCCCTTTGTGTGTCTGACTCTCTCCTTGTCTCTTTCTCTCCCTCCTTCCCTCGTCTCTGGGTTTGCTCTTTATTCTTTCCTTGGACAGAACCTACCTCTAGTTACCACTGGGTACCAGGTCACATCATTAAGAGAACATCCTGATCAACTATGGGTCAGAATGGGTTGGTCAATCTTGCTCCTAATCTACAGCAAGTCCCCTACATATGAATGAGTTCTGTTCCGAGAGTGCATCCATAAGTCCAATTTGTTCATAAGTCCAATAAAGTTAGCCTAGGTACCCAACTAACACAATCGGCTATATAGTACTGTCCTGTAATGGATTTATAATACTTTTCACACAAATAATACATAAAAAACAAACAAAAAATAAAGAAAACATTTTAAATCTTACAGTACAGTACCTTGAAAACTACAGTAGTCCAGTACAACAGCTAGCATCCAGGGGCTGGCACTGAGGGAACAGGCAAGAAGAGTTACTGACTGGAGGGGGGAGAGGAGGTGGCAGATGGTAGAGCTGAAGGATCGCCAGCAACAGGAGATGGAGGGCAAGCTGCAATGTCACTCACGCCTGACGTTGATGGCACAGGTTCTGGTTCCTTGCTGGAACTAGATGCACGTTCGCATCTTTGAAAGTTCGTGCCTTGAAGATTTGTATGTAGGGGACTTACTGTATTTCAGTAAGATGTGGCCTAAAGGGGCAGAATTTCATCTCCTAGGCTTTTCAGGAGTGCCAACACACCATTTACACACAGGAGAGAAGAAGCTATCTCTCCCTCCCCTCCAAGGAGAAAGGTAAAAACCGCTCCTCTGACACGGGACGGAAGGACCCTGGGTTCTCACCTAATCTTTTGGAATATACACATGCCTTTCCACGGCCTGGATAAACCCTGGGTGTCTTCCACTTCCATGAGCCAGACAAGTCTTCAAGTCTGGGCTTTATCTCTTTGAAACATAAATACCAAGGGAGAGAGAACTCCACTTTTCCCAGTGCCTCGGCAGCTTAACCCAGGGTAAAGAAACATTTTCCACCAGACACATGTTAAAAATAGCAAAACAGATTTATTTGGAGTCACTGCAGTAGGGGAAAAAGACCTTAGTATGTGACTGAGCTCAATTCCAAAGACAGCAAAGGCAGCTGGTGATTTAGAGCCAACAAGCAGAGTGAGGGGGTCAGTGCAGGGAAAGTTACTAACAAGAACTTGATTAGGTATCAAGGGCAGGGAGATTCTTCCTAAAATAACTTAACAGGATCTTGCTAAAGGCAGGCCAAGGGTGGAAATCGATCAGCTATAAAAGGTGGAAGTATTCTTGCTAACCTGGATTAGTGGGATTCTTTGCTAAAATTGGACAGGCCACAAGCAGGGCAGCAGACCAAGATCCAGGTCTAGTTAAGAAGGCTCAGAGAAGCCTGATTAAAATGTGGGTAAGGAGAGAGTCTTTGCTACCGGGAAACTACTCTGACTGGAATCATTTAGCCTTATTGGAAGTTAACAGAAACTTTATTATTCTTTCATATCAGAGCAATATATTAGATAAATGGATACTGGATGACTTATCATGACATATGAATAGTAAGATGTTTCTAGGGAAAGTGAAAGCAGACGCTCCCTCTATCAGTATGCGGTATAAATTTCTGTGTCTAAGGAGTACCAAGAAATCCAGGGAGGTTCTATTTCTCCACAGTACGGAGATGAATTCGGTGGGCTGATCCAGGGTGATACTCGATCCAGTGCCAACTCAAAAACAAACAACGCCTTTAATTTTCTACAACCTAAAGGAGTGACTTAGATATTTTGCAGCTATATTTTCATAAAATCAAAATAACACGTTATTTCAGAAGAGCTACCAATTGGATGGATTCAGTTTTGAACATCAAAAATAGCCTTTGCTTTTCATATTCCATTTCTGGTTTATAAAAGGGATAAATATATTTTTGCCCAATCAGTTTCTTAGAAGTAAAGTTTGATGATATCAAGTTTAATCAATTAAGATGCTTTTGACTGCAAGCAACAGATTATCCATCCAAAGTAGCTTAAGCACTAAAGTGTTTTCTTTGACTCATATAAGAAAAATAGAGCATTGGTAGTTCTATGATTGGCGTGACAGTTCAGCAATATTATCCAGAACCCAGATACCTTTTAATCTCTGCTCTGTCATCTCCAAGGTGGTGGGTTTCCATCCTCAGGCTTGTCAATGCACAGGAGCAACACGAGTGCTTCAGATCTAATGATCCATTTTCAAACCTGCTGAAGAGAACAAAATCTTTTCCTGAGGATTCCCAGCAGATATCTCCTTTTGGACAACTTAGTCACATATCCAGTAAAAGAGAATGAAATTGCAATTACTGGTTTAGGCTAGTCATGCTTTGTCACCTTCACTTGGGCACATTGGGTTTTATAAACTAAGGGAAAATGAGGAAAGGCCTTTAGAACAAAAAGGGAAACAACAGTGCCTGCCACACCAGTGTCAGTTAGGGTATGAGGAAGTAGGTATTCTCATGAAATCTCAGAACACTACTCACTGATGTTTCTAACAGTTGAAAATGTAGCCGATGTCATGGGAAATAAAGTTAATTGTTGGTGATAGCAACAAAAAGGGAATAATAAAATCAATTTATGGGATACGATCATAGTTTGAAATGAATAGACTGGTATTACACAGAGTATGGCCCAGATGAAGTGGCCTGAGGCTGTAAAGAGAAGAAGGGTAGAGGGCTCTGAAAATCAGTGAATCAAAAAACACAAGACTTCTGCCACATGAGTGTTGGCAAGACTTCTGCCACATGAGTGTTGGCAAGGGGATGTTTTAGAGCTGGCCTGAGAGTCTCACCTGGAAAGAGAAGGCCTCCGCTGAAAGAGGCTGGGGATTTACCGGCAGATGGCCGTTGAGCAAGAGCAACGGTCTAGAGAAATGCATGCAACTCAAGAGAAGTGCAGGCAAGAAATGTCTAGCGACGTGGAGGACTTCTGTAGAACAAAACCACGGCTACCATGGTCAATGTCAACTTCTGCTCAGCTCAGCGAATACAGATGCTGGTTAGCAAGAGGGTCAGTCAAGTAAGACCTTTCCAGCTTCCTTAAGTCTTCCACCTTCCTGTATGATTTTGACCCTATCGGGTTCCAAAACCACACTTAAGAAGCTGGAGAGAAGAAGAATGAGGTGAAAAGATAAAAGGATGAAGGGGCTGACTACCCCTTTTCCCACTGTTAGCAACTAACCTGCAGCCAGCCCAAACCAGGGGAAAAGATACATTTTCAATGGGAGTAAAATAACACTGAAATGAAACTGTTTGGAGGACTGGCTGTTGCTAGGTGACTTTTTGTTACCTGAAAGTGACTAGAAAATTCATGAGGTTTGCAGAAGACTGCAGTGAGAAAAGGGAAATAATTAGTTCCACAGATGTTTAGAAGGACAGAGGAGGAAAAGAAATAAAGAGACTTAATGACTGCACCTAGGAGTCTACATAGTTTTTATTCTCCCATTTAATATATATGTTATATATGCTATATCACATATATATGATATATTCATATGCACATACGTAGAAACATATAAAGAGACACGATTTTTTCCTTGCAGTAATCATAAAAAAACTTTTCAAATCTGTTGCCTTGAATGAGTATAGAGTTGTTTTGCTTAATTTTGGAAATTATGTTTTTTTCACTATATTAGTATATATGCATACTATGTTTTTTATATTATACATACACATTTATTCAAACTCACACACATTGTTATATATGTACAATACATACAATGTATGTATATATACACATAGTGCATATGTATATGTGAGCATATATGTGTATATATGCCAGTTTTTCAAGGATTAAGAAGACAAAGTGTTTGTGGTCAATTTGGGGAATATTTTCCTATTTTACGTTTCCAAATTAAAGTAGAAAACTAACAAATAATGTTTTCAAAAATGAAAAAGGAGATGGAAATAGAAGATACTATTCTTTGGCATATGAAGATTCAATAAAATAGAAAGGGAATTAAATAATTCTCCCTCATTCATGGAGTAAAAGATATAAAATATCCATTGGATTTGTCAAAGATAAAGTTTAATTATACATATTTTACTTGGTTGAGGATCCAAAGAAATTATATACTTTTCCAGCATCAGATCATGAGGGCAAGAGAGAGATATCACAATGTAAATATCAGAATATGAGATTGCAATATTTTAAAGACAGAAGCATTCTTTGCTGTTTATACACAGAGGAATTTAATTATTCAGTACCTCAATAGATGACTAAAGAAAGACATATTAAAAATATGCTCTCACGGCTGTGAAGAAAATAATGCAATTCAAATAATAGAGGAAATATAACTTCTGTTCCTGGCATTGGTATCATACGTGTTTGAAAAACAGAAGGATAATTTTATACATATTGTATAACATATGTGATTGTAATTCTTCAAGCCAGATACATTGCCAATCTGTCTGCAAACACATTTTTTTTAATCCTGAAAAAGAAATGTGTTAAGAATTTTAAGTTGCATATAAATGGATACAGAAGACTAAAAGTCATTTCTGACATTTTGCTTTTCCTTTAACTTTTACCTATATAAATGGGCATCTAATCCAACAGTTCTATACATTTTTGGGTTCCATATCTTGTCAGTAGTGTGCCCAGTATATTTGTGCCATGATGATATCATACATAGTAATATGTAGCATTCAAATTAAATAATATTTTGCATGTTAACTAGCCAGACTCAGTCATGATAGGTGGAAAAATTAAACCAAGAGAAATTAAGTGATTGCCTCCAAGTGTCATAGTTAGTTAAAAGCATATCTACAACCTCAATCAAGTTTCTTTCTCCCATCACTGTGTAGCTTTAATTAAAAAAATATATGCCTATATCAATGTCTCTTTGTGCATATGCATTGTTTTACATGCCCCATCATCCTAGTTTTCTTTTCCTTTGTCCTTTTTAAAGTTTGTTGCAATTTAATATGCATAACGTAATCATAATCATACATATTAAAACATTTTCACAAAGTGAATACACCTGTTAAGTAGCATTCACATTAAGAGATTCAGTAACACTAGCATCTGAGAAGACGTGTCTTGTCCCCCAGTCACTAAACACCTACAGTAAAATCACTGGCCTGAGTACTAACAGCAGAGATTATTTTTTCCTGTTTTTGAACTTCATGTAAATGGAATAATTTACATGCACTATTTGGGTCTGGCTTCTTTAATGCAACATAATGTCTGTGAGATTCATACATATTATGGTGTGTAATTATAGATAATTCATTTAAACTGCCATCCAGTTTTTATTTTATGAAAATATCACAATTTATTTATCCACTCTACTCCTGACAGCCATTTGAGTTGATTCCAGTGTTTGTTAACTTGAGCATTCTCGTGTGTGCCTCTTGCTACACATACATTTATGCACACATTTTTACTCAGTCTATTCCAAGGAATAAGATTTCTGGACTGAGGAGACAGTGTTGAGTTTTACTAGATGCTGCCAGTCTTCCAACATGATTGCACGAATTTAACACTGTTTAGTAGTGAGCTACAACTCACGTTTATCATTTGATTATTGCCATTCTGCAAGTTGGTTGTTCCACCATCTAATAAAAGAGTAGTGTTAAATTTCCAATACAGGCATACTTTGTTTTGCCACACTTCACTTTATTGTGCTTTGCAGACATTATAGTTTTTACAAATTCAAGATTTGTGACAACCCTGTGTCAATCAAGTCTATGGATGTCCTTTTCAAATTTTCAATTCTTTCAGCTCTTGCTTCATAGACTTTTTTTTTTTTTTTGCGGTACGCAGGCCTCTCACTGTCGTGGCCTCTCCCGTTGCAGAGCACAGGCTCCGGACGCGCAGGCTCAGTGGCCATGGCTCACGGGCTCAGCCGCTCCACGGCATGTGGGATCTTCCCGGACTGGGGCACGAACCTGCATCCCCTGCATCGGCAGGCGGACTCTCAACCACTGCGCCACCAGGGAAGCCTGCTTCATAGACTTTGAAGTGCTGATGTTCGGTGCCATCTCAGGACTGTTGTCTTCTTGATAAATTGACTCCTTTCTCATTACAAAATACCCTCCTATGCCCCTGGCAACATTTCTTGTTCTGAAGTCTACTTCCTCTGATTTAACACAGTCACTCGCAATTCTTGTGCTTAGGATGTGTGTGGTGTATCTTTTGTCACTTTATCTTCAGCCTATGTGTTTTTACATTTAATTGTGCTTCTTGGAGACAACATATAATCGGACCCTGGTTTTCTATCCCACCTGAAAATCTATGCCTTTTAAGAGAATTGTTTAATCATTCACATTTAATATAACTATTGATTTCTTGGTTTTTATACCTGTCATCTTGATATTTGTTTCTGTTTTCTCACATTTTCTTTATTGCCCTTTCCCTTCTCTTTTCCTGTCTTACTTTTGATCCGTGTGTACTTTTAGGTTCCATTTTACCTTTACTATTGATTTTGTAGATACAATTTTTTATTGTTTTAATGGTTGCTTGGGTTTAAAATATGCATTTTTTTTTTTTTTTGGCGGTATGCGGGCCTCTCACTGTTGTGGCCTCTCCCGTTGCGGAGCACAGGCTCCGGACACGCAGGCTCAGTGGCCATGGCTCACGGGCCTAGCCGCTCTGCGGCATGTGGGATCTTCCCGGACCGGGGCACGAACCCGCGTCCCCTCCATCGGCAGGCAGACTCTCAACCACTGCGCCACCAGGGAAGCCCTAAAATATGCATCTTCTTATTACAGTCAAGTTTCAAACAAGTGTATACTACATGTATAATGTAAGAATCTATAACAGTACACACTGTTTCCCCACAACCCAATTTTGTGCTATATTTGTATACATTATACCACTACATATGTTATAAAATCCAAAATAAATGGTGATTAATTTTGCTTTGAAAAGTTGAAAGAAAGGAATTAAAGTAAGTTGTCTGTGATCCATTTATTCTTTTTACTTGGTAGAAGTTCCTGGTAGGGAGAAAAGAAGGATAAGTTCCTGGAAATGTCTTTCTGCTAAGTGGATCTCAGGTAGATTAATGATATTATTAAGAGTAAGGGACCCAATCTCTGAAATATCCCTAGCTGGAGATCCCATACTAAATAGAACCTAGTGTGTATGAGAAATGTCCCCACAAATGTCCCAAAGGCTGTACAACCCTTTAGGCTCTTTCATAACATAAATTCTTACCTCTTTGTGAGGAATCCCATGAACCTTACTTAAAGCCCCCCAATATT